AGTGCCGTGGCATCAGCCTAGCTCACAGCAACCTCAAACTCCTGGGCTCAAGCGATCCTCCTGCCTCAGCCTCCCAGGTAGCTAGGACTACAGGCATGCACCACTACACCCGGCTAATTTTTCTATTTTTAGTAGAGACAGGGTCTCACTATATTGCCCAGGCAGGTTTTGAACTCCTGAGCTCAAGCGATCCTCCCACCTCAGCCTCCAAGTGCTAGGATTACAGGCATGAGCCACCGCACCCGGCCTAAATGTTTAATTTTAATCCTATTTTTCCAGTTTGTTTTTGTAAAATCTACTGTGTTTTTACTCATGTTCTTATTTCTTGACATAAAGTATATGTAATTATTTTATACCCCGTGTCTTAAAACGCCAACACCTGAGCTGTTTCTGTGGCCGACTCTGCTGTCTGCTGCTTCTGCATGTTCTCACCTGGGGACTTGGTTTTCCTGTGTGTCCAGCATTTTTTGTTTTACTGTGAGCTGTTACCTTCCTTGGAGATTACTTGAAACCTGAGATAAAGGCGAATTCTTCCAAAAAGAATCCCCTTACCTGCACGCACTTCACGTTGATACCAGGACACACAAACTTTCTCCAGATGAGGTTGGCTCTGCTGTCCCCGCAGGTGATGGGGTACACGATCTCAGCCTCCAGGTTCTCCCCCTCTTCAGCCATCTTCACTTCTCACAGGCACGTGGAGAGGAAACGGCAAAGGCAGAAAGTCAGTCACAACCTCTCCACGCGCCTCCTGCAGACGCAGACATAGCTGCCGCTCTGGGAACAAACACGAAACCCCAGGAAGGCCCGAGAGAGAACCACGGCGGGAGGGCGTTCTCAGCAGCCCGAACAGATCTCACTACAAACATTAACATAATTCCATTAAACTGGGGTTCAACTGAAGCGTCACTTGAAATAACATCAGATTTACTTGAAACAACTGTAGGGAAATGTAAAGTTTTAAAGATTCTAGGGCCTTTAATCTTAGGCAATAGAAGAACAACAAAAGTGTCATAAAGAATTTTTGCTACCACTCACCGAGAGCTATGACAGACAGTATACGAAAGACAACAGGGACAGAAACAGAGAGAAGGAAACAAAATCCCAGAGGGGAGAGAGCTGCGAAATCTGGGGCTGACCCCTCTGCTCTTGCCCGGCCACAGGCGGTGGCAGGGGTGCCCTGTGACGCGGGACGGGCCTACCTAACACGGCTTCCTTGAGCTGTGAGGAGGCTGTGAAGGCGGCGGCCGCGGCGGCGGCTGCGTTTTCCGTCTCCATGCTGTCTTCGGCCAGGTCGCCCCTGCGGACGGTGGAAGAAAGAGAGAGAACATCAGGGTCCCTGGGCACGACACCTGCAGCAAACGGTGCCCTCTGCGCACTTTTGCTAAGGACGCCGCTCGTTGTGGGTCGTCTGTTACACTTTCCTAATTTTTGCAGACATGGCGGAGGCTGAGAAGTCAGGGGACCGAGCGCGGACGGCTCTGCGCTGTGCCGCTCGCTCCCAGCTGCATTCACGCCCCATCGCCGGTGCCCAGAGCAGCACCCGGCACACGAAGCCCGCACAACAGATCTGGGGAAGCAATGACCGCTTACGCAGGAGTTCCACACTTTCGTTTCTGTCTTTAATGAAGCTTTTTATTTCCCTTACGCGGTTATAGAAACTATCAGAAAATATAAAATTTTAGAAAGGAAAAAAATCACCACAGCCCAATCGCACCTTATACCAAAATAAATTATTGACAAATCAAAATATAAAGGTAAAAGATGAAGAAATAAAAGTATTTAAAGGAGAGCATTTACATTTGTATTTAAATACAAATAAAGTATTTAAAGTGGTGGCGTGAACCTATAGTCCCAGCTACTTGGGAGGCCGAGGTGGGAGGATCACTTGAGCCCAGGAGGCTGCAGCGAGCTGTGATCGTGCCACTGTGCTCCAGCCTGGGTGACAGAGCCAGACTCTGTCTCTGAAAAAGAAAAGCATTAGAAAGAAAAAAGAGGATTATTTTTACTAGTTTCAAAGTAGTAGTAAAGGGTTTTCTTATACAATACAAAGCCCAGCAATAAGAAAAGATAACTTTGCCTTAAAAAAATAAAAACTTTCAGTGTAGGGGGAAAAAATCATAAACAATTTTTTAAGAAAAGAGAACTGTGGGGGAGAATGTTAACAAGGTAAGAAGACAGACAGCTACCCCCCACCACCGTCCAACGCGGGCCATGCCCAGAGGCCTTGGAGAAACCTATGGAAAGACACCGCGTGACTCATAAGAAATGCAGATATAAAAACTACAATTGGATATGATTTCCCCAGATGGCCCCCAAGACGGAAACATCCTCCACACGAGTATGGGAGAAAGTTGGACGTCAGGGTGCAGTGCGGCAAGCAGGTGCCCCAGCGGTGTCGGGAACACCCAGGAGGGTGACTTGACCACAGCCTGGACAGCAGGTGCCTTCGGCCCCAGCATCTTCACTTCTTGGAATTAACCCCACACACAAAGTACTCCCACACACGCACAGTGACGTGTGTGCACAGACCGTCCCTGCAGAACTGCCTACAACGGGAGACCTGTCTCTGGCTTCTGGAACCCGTAATGGCTGGGAGGGCCTGGGTGGGCTCCCAGGTGTGCCCCCCATGACAGCTGAGTATACCATGTGTGCACTTCTGTACTGCAAGAAGTTTACCTAAAACCACATGTGCTCTCAGGATCGGCCCTCGGGCCTTCCACGTACCCCACTCAGGGCTCCCAGCCACAGCAGCACAGGTGCTCACAAGCAGAGGCCTGGTGGGTGCCGACGCTTCGGGACTGGGGCACAGGGTGCGGAGCCCTGACTGCCCATGGCTCACCCAGGACCTGCAGCAGCGAGGACGCAGGCCAGCCGGGCAGCTCAGGACGGGGCAATGCCTGTTCCGGGGGAGCTTCTCGAGCTGAGCCTGGAAGGGCTGACCAGGAGCAGCTGGGCAGAGGGGCAGCGAGCACAGGGCTCAGAGCCGGGCCCTGCGGGACCTCTAGGGCTTCCCCCAGGGGCAGGATGCTCCTAAGGCCCAAGATCCTAAGGCAGAGCCCTTGGATCTTAAACAGGGGATTGATACAGTCGGATTGGTATTTTTAAAAAGAACATTCTGGCGATGGAGTGGAAGGCAGAGTTTAGGGGCAGGAAATGGGCTGAGAAAGCAGCTGAGAGGACGCAGCTAAGGGGAGAGTGACCCAGGCAGGGGAGGCACCTACTAGCTCTGGCGGGGGGGCGAGGCCAAGCCTGCTGGCCTGGGAGAGGGTGAGCAGAGCAGTGCAGGGCGCCCAGCAGCACTCCAGCCCCAGGGGGCGCTCAGGGCCTCTGTCGGGCAGGCCAACACTTGGTTACTGCCCCCAGGGCAGCTCTCTGCCCAGCTGGGTCTGCTGCTTTGGAACTTGGCATAGACAACATCCCAGGGCATGGTGCCTGCACTCTGGTGTCTGTTGCTCACAAGTCTGTGTGTCCAGAGCTGCAGCTCTGTCCTCCCTGAGGCTGGGCAGTGCCATGCCATGCGTGCTCCCCAGTTTACTGCCCGTTCAGGAGGTGTCTGTCAAAGTTCTCCTAGGCTGAAGCCCTGACCGGGCTGGAATCCCTGGGAAAAGGCAGCCGTGGTGTGAGCGCTGCCGTGGCACCAACGTCCAGGCAGCAGCAGACACAGCGAGGCCCGGGAGGGGCCCACGAGAGGCTGCGGGAATGGCGGGCTGGGCCACAGTGCCGAGCACAGCTTGACGCTGCAGGAGCACGGTGGCGCTGGGGAGCCGGGAGTGCAGGATGAGGAGGGTGCGAGGGAGCAGGCTCCCAGGATGGAGGAGTGGGAGGAGGTGGTCGTGGGGCAGGCAGCGTGAAGCTCTGCAGGTGGCCCTGGACCCACCTCGGGGTCAGGCTAAGCCACACCTCCCACGGTGGGCCCCTCGTGGCACCGGTGCTGCGTCTGAGGCCCTGCCTGCCCGGCCCCCCACGGTCAGAGCTGTGCACGGCCCTGCATGGCTGCAGGAGGTGGCGGGCCGTCTGCTCGTCCAAGATCTCTCCTCTAGAGCACACTGTCCAGTGAACTCACCGCTCTCCAGTTCTCTTAAATCGGCGGTTGATTAAAAACACACACTTGGAATCTGGTCTTTGGAGCATATTATGTGGAGAATAATATTAAGTGGGAACATCAGAACTCCAAAGGGGGTGCATGAACTCAGGAGGAAGCTGCCCTCCAGGCCCGCGCTGGGAGGTGGAGAGGAGAATGGCAGAGCAGACGGCCAAGACCAGCTCCGGGGGCCAGGGAGCTCTGACAAGCAGCACCAGGGTCACCAGGCAAACCCCACCCCAGGCCACCTGCAAGTGAGGGGCAGGGACACCCCATGGAGAAGGGCCCCAGGCCACCCAAAGGCTGTGTCGACGGGGGCACCGAGTCCCACCCCACGATTCACGCCAGCCACACTGCAGAGCCCACCCGCGGCTGCGCCGACGCACCCACTGTGCTGAGGCAGGAGTGACCCCCTGCAGGACGACGCCATGAGCCCCCCACAGCCCGGCAGACCCTGAAGCATCCGCACTTCAAACTTCACTTGAGAAACGTCTACATTGCTTAAAGCAAACGTCCGTGCAGCTGTGGCCACCGCAAAATCCTGCCTCCTCCCTCCCAGCACGTGGCCCATTGCCATGGTGCGTCGGTGGGCGCGAGGCAGCTCCCAGGCTTGCGAAGAGTGGAGGGCTCCCAAGTTCTCCCCAGATAACCAACCAGGAAAGAAATCTGCGCCCACCAAGTACTTAACCAGCTTACACTCCCTCGCATTTTAAGAAAACATGTAGCAAGACTAAATCTCAACTTCCGACTAGAAGATTGACAGATTCCCCACAGAAAAAGAGGAGGGTCTTAGGGCCCCAAGGCGACCGGCCTCTGTGGCTGGGGGCCTCTGCCCCAAAGGGGAAAGCACAGGTGGCCTCTCCTTTCCTTCCAGTGGGATGGCACCTCAGCACCTGCCAGTGCGACTGCCACCTGGAAGACCCTGACCTCCACGGCTCCCCATCGAGATGGGGCCGTTGCCTCTCCCCGACGTGACCTCGAGCCGATCCTTTGATCCGCTTTGTTTTTGTTTTATTTTTTTTATTTTTTAATTTTAACGCTTCACAAATTTGCATGTCATCCTTGCGCAGGGGCCATGCTAATCTTCTCTGTATGGTTCCAATTTTAGTCTATGTGCTGCCGAAGTGAGCACCTTTGACCCGCTTTGACCACAGGCTGCAGCCAGGCCTTGGGGCCCTGCGGCTCCCATGCTGGCCGAACACACCCAGGTGCGTCCTGGCGGGTGAGGGCCACACGCAAAGAGCCTCCAGCCACCCCAGACCACCCACTAGGCCCAGCAGCACTGGCCTGGGCCAGAACATCTTAAAGAACAAACACGTGTCACTTTAAGCCACCAAGTTTTGTGGTGGTTTGTTACGCAGCAAACAGACTACCACAGGAGTGGAGCCAGAAGCGGGCGCCCTCTCACCCCCATGGCGTTGCCCTTGGCTGGAAGGGCAGAGGCCAGGTTGGGGCTATAGGCAGAGACTCCTGTGCTGGGGGGCACAGGAGCGACCGGCAGGACCCCACACCACGGGGGTGACAAGGGAGGAAACACTCCCGGTGAATTTGTGGCTCTCGTCAGGGAAATTTCGAGCAGAAGGCAAAAAGTGCCAACTGGCTTCTTTGAAGGCGGATAATTGTTCTCTCGAACAAAAACCTCCAGGGACTGAAGGGGATCGGATCATGTCACATCTCCAGTTCCCAGGCGGCAGCACCCTCACAGGAGGCAGGGGTTCAGGGCAAAGAGCGAGGCGTGTGGCTGTGGGACCTTCAAGCCTGGGAAAGCTCTGAGGCCACGTCCAGCCGAGGGGCCCTGGGAATCTGCAGGCCCCTCAAAGGCTGGGCGTGGCAGCTTCTGAGCAGGACCCCCGCCCGCTGCCTGCCCATCTTGCTGTCACCGCATCGTGGGTGCCCGGGAGGGCCGCGGCTCTAGTTCTTGGTCTCTACATCAGCAATTGTCGCCTCCAAGAAGCCTCAGCCCAGCCAGACCTGAGGCCGTGTGAGGGCAGGCCTTGGGCCAGTGCCACTCACGGGCGAGACGCACGAGGTCCAGGAAAAGGTCAGAGGCGGACTGACCAGGCCAGAGGACAGGCTGCCGCCAACACAGAAATGGCCACGATAGTCTGTAACTTCCTGCCAAGGGGCAGAGTCTCAGTTCCACCCCTGACGCTGCGCTCGGTCACGGGACTGGCCTCAGTCCACAGGACACGTGCAAATGGCACATTTTTCTACGGAGTTCTGAGACTGTCAGGTAAGGACGTGCAGGCCACCAGCAGGCGGATGAGACCTGGCTGACAGAGGTGACATGTCCCAGCCGAGGCTGCCAATGCCCGCTCCAGACAGGGAGAAAGTCAGACACTTCCCATCAGTGATAGGCTGAGGTTAGCGTGAAGATGCCACACCTAAGACACGGCCAAGTCTGGGAGTCGGGAAGACCGTCCCGGCCCAAGGGGCGAGCCCCTCAAAGGGGGCAGAGTGAGGGCTCAGGCAGCCCCTTGTGCAGGGCGGGGGATGCCATTCGCAGCAGGAGCCTTGTGGCCACCTCCCAGCAGTCCCGCCAACGGGCCAGCAAAAGGACGCCGGCAGTTTGCGCAAAGGTGAGCCTTTCGCCAACTAGCGTTCGACGTGGACAGTTGGTACGAGAGCTGAGGAAGAAACTCACAGTGTCATGAGCAAGGTCAAGAGAATCACTGGCCCTTCAGCTTTATTTCCGAAAAAACGGTTCCCGACCATCCCTGCTGCTCCAACTCATCAAAAGAGAAATTACCACGTGCTCTGGGAAACAAAACCACGCAGCCACGCTGACGCAGGAGACGACGACAAGGCGTCCTACCAAAGTCTGCACTGGAGCTTCCCGGCCGGGGCGCCATTCCTGTGCCCTTCACGCTCTGCGCTCACAGAGACTCTGCGTCCCGTCTCAGAAGTGAAGGAAACCCTTGGCTCACCCAGACACGGGTTCACGCCAGCCACGCCTGGGTGAGCCCGTCCCACCCCACTCGGCCCCAGCGGCACCGAGGCCCAGTCCTTACCCGTGAGGAGCCAAGTTGGTCGTCACCAGCACCGTCTTCACCCCCTCCACGCCACTGCCATCAACCGCGGTATCCGGGGTTGTCACGACCACCACCTCCTCCATGTGCACGCTCACGTCTGGGGTGGCCATGGCGCAGCTGGGGAGGCCGCCTGGGACCAGCAGCGTCACTCCCCAGGGCCTGAGTCCTGGACGGGACAAGGCGGGGCACAGCATTACAGGACAGCCTCAAACGGAGCTTCGTCTCCCAAGACCCATCGGTAAGCCCCAGCCAGCTCCTTTCCGGCAGGAAATCGCAGCCACAGAAGGGCGACTCCGGGGCTCTGGTTCTTGGGTGGCGTAAGCACAACCCTCCCGTCCTTGCCACTGGATGGACGCGGAGCCGCTTGCTCTGGGTGGGCCTGCGGGCAGAAAGCACTCCCAGAGAAGTCTTCTCTCTGGTCTGGGGAAAGGGAAAGGAAACACACAGAAAGCAGAGAGAGCAAAATGCCCTGGCTCTTTCTATCATCGCGTCATCTCCGCCGGCTCTGCCCGCAGGTGCGCGTAAGCCCTGCTGAACCCGTGATGTGGCAGCGGCCCAGCAGGCACCTAACGCTTGGGGAGACGGGGCCTTCCTCCTGACTGGAGGAACAGTGGCCCCAAGAGCACAGGGGTCCCCCTTGTTCTTGCTCCCCATCCTCTACACTCAACCCCGGTAGGCTCCATCCCGAGTGCCACGGACAGAAGGGGCCTGGAAGGGGCCTGGAGCCCGAGAGTGGGGAGTGGCGAGAGGAGGGTGCGGACGCCGCACGCAGCTGTGTGTGACACCTTGGTCGTCCCAAGACGGTCCACGTGCGGACCTGGCCCTAAATGGCAAACCAAAGAGAACTGCCCTAAGGGTAGACCATCGCCCAGGTCTCACACTGGCCCCGAACGGTGCCTAAGGGACAGGTCTGCAAGGCACTGATGCCCAACTGGCCGTGACCGCGGCCACAGGAGAGGGCTCACAACTTGCCCCGAACGTAACAGGCAGATTTCCTACTGTCACAAAAACTACATTCTCTGTTAGACTCGAAACAAGACCCAGAGTCTCGTAACATCATATTCAAAGTCATCCAGAACAGAACCCAACGTGACGTGGCACACAGACAGCCAGGACGTCTGATTAATTCTCCGAGCAAACAGTCACCCAGAGATGCCCGCTCCAAGATGCCCTTTACAGTGGCTGCCATCCCAGCTCCCAAGAGTAAAGCCAAACCTTCCTGAACCAAAGGGAAAGAAAGTCTTGGTAGAGAAACAGAAGTTACAACCAAATGGAAATTTGAGTTAAAAAATATAAGAACTAAAATAAAAAATTAACGGATGGGCTCCACAGCAGAACAGAGATGACAGAGGGGAAGCCAGTGAACACAAATAGCAACAGAATCACCCAGTCTCAGCAGAAGCAAGACTGGGACACCAAACGGACAGAACTTCAGGGAATGTGCGCCAGGCTCGAAAGCTGGGTGTTTGTGCACTGGAGCTGCAGAAGGAGAGATAAAAAAAGTTTTAAGCTGAAAACATATTTGAAGAAATAGGCCGGGCGCGGTGGCTCACGCCTGTAATCCCAGCACTCTGGGAGGCCGAGGCAGGAGGATCGCTTGAGCTCAGGAGCTCGAGAGCAGCCTGGGCAACGGCAAGATCCTGTCTCTACTAAAAATAGAAAAATTAGCTGGGAGTGGTGTGGTGGCTCACGCCTGTAATCCCAGCAAACTGGGAGGCCGAGGTGGGAGGATCGCTTGAGCTGAGGAGTTCAAGACCAGCCTGCACAAGAGCGAGACCGCAAAAGCGAGACCCCGTGTCTGCTGAAAATAGAAAAAATTAGCCGGGCGTGGTGGTGTGCGCCTGCAGTCCCAGCTACTCGGGAGGCTGAGGCAGGAGGATCGCCTGAGCCCAGGAGTCTGAGGCTGCAGTGAGCTGTGATGACGCCACGGCACTCTAGCATGGGCAACAGAGCCAAGACTCTGTCTCAAAAAAAAAAAAAGAAGAAATAAAATAATAGCTGGGCTGGTCCAATGGCAGTGGGTTATCAGAACTTATTAACATTAGCGTCACTGAAGTTGGCATACAACTGCCCCCCCCACCCCCCACTAAATTTGACAGGCTAAAAAAAAAAGAAAAGAAATACTAGCTGAATACTTCCCAAATTCAGTGAAAGACATAAATACACATTCAAGAGGCCTGGCAAACCTCAAACAGGATAAGCTCAAAGAAACCCATGCCCAAATCATAATCAAATTGCTCAAAACCAAAAACAAAGTAAAAAAAATTCTCAAAACAGTCAGATAAAGAAGTATGCGTTGCCCATAAGGAAACAACTCAAATGACGGTGGAATTCTCACAGAAGCCAGAAGGCAAGGAAACATCTTTAATGTGCTGAAAGCAAAATGACTGTGAATCTAGGATTCTACCACCAGTGAAAAGATCCTTTAGAAATGAAAGCAAAATATCAGGTCTGAAGGGGGGAAGAAAAAAGAAATGAAAGCAAAATAAGGACATTTTCAGATGAAGGAAAATTAAGAGAATCGGTCACAAACAGACCTGCTTGAAAAGAAATGTGAATTGAAGTTCTTCAGACAGAAGGAAATTACACCAGAGGGAAACCTGGAACTTCAGGAATAAAAGAACAGCAACCAGAACGGTAAATGTGACGACCACTCTCGTGTTCCTCACGTGTGCGTCACAGCACCGTCTGGGGGGTTTTGGTGCATGCGTGCAGACACGTGGCAGCCACAAGCCAGAAAGCAGGGTCTACGCGGTGCCGCTGCTTCCACGTTTCACGGGGAGTCGTGGGACGTCGTTCTAAGGAGGCTGGGAAAAGCGGAGTCCCTCAAGAGGCAACGGATAAACAAAAACACACTGTCCGTTTATGTTCCAGACCATGGAACAGCATTCAGAGGCAAGAAGAAACGAGCGATCCTGCCACAAGAGACGCGCAAGGACGTCAAGTGCGGCCCACTCGGAGAAAGGAGCCGACCTGAAAAGGCTGCTGTGTGATCCGCTCCACGACCCTCCGGAAAAGGCACAACCCCAGAGACGGCAGAGCATCAGCGGCTGCCAGGCTTAGGGTGAGGGAGGGAGGAACAGGCATCAGGGCATCTTCAGGGCAGTGAAGCGGTCCAAGGTGAAGACACGACAGTGGACACGTGTCATTATGCACTTTCCAAACCCACAGAACGTAACACACCAGCAGGGAGCCGAGGTCAGGGAGGCTTTGCAGTGACAGGTGTCAGTGCAGGTCGTGGACCGTGAAAATGGCCACCGTGCGGGAAGGTGGAGGGGTGAGGGAGGCACAGGGAGAGCGCGTGGAACTCGGGGCACTTTCAGCTCAGTTTTCCTGGGGACCTACAACTTGTCTAAAAAATAAAGTCTGTTGATTTTTAAACATTAAGTGTGTGTATTACAATGGACCAACAAAGAGTACAATGGAGAATGAAAATACAAGCTACAGACTGGAAGAAAACATTTGCAATCACACATCCCACAGAGAACCTGCGTCCACAACACGCAAAGAGTAACAGTAAGAAGACAAACCACCCAGTTTTAAAAATGGACAAAAGACTTGAACAGACACTTCACCAAAGACGACATGTGGCTGGGAAATACGCACATAAAAGGATGCTCAACACCACTAACCCAGCGGGAAACGCCGTCCAGCCCTGTCGACGTGCTCACGCGCACCCATCTGAACAGCGCGAAAAAGCCGCAGCAAGGAGCTGATGCTGCCCAGCATGATGAGGGCGTGAAGCGGGGGATTCCCATCCCCCCCCCACCCGGCTCAGGACGGAAAATGGCACAACCGTTCTGGAAAGCTTGACGGTTTCTTATGAAGTTAAACATACTCTCTCCACGGGACCCCGCAATCCCACTCCTAAACATCCACCCTGGAGAAATAAAAACCGATGTCTAGGCCAGGCGCGGTGGCTCACACCTATAATCCCAGCACTCTAGGAGGCCGAGGCAGGCAGATCATTTGAGCTCAGGAGTTCGAGACCAGCCTGAGCAAGAGCGAGACCCCGTCTCTACTAAAAATAGAAAGAAATTAGCTGGATAGCTAAAAATATATAGAAAAAATTAGCCGGGCATGGTGGCACATGTCTGTAGTCCCAGCTGCTCAGGAGGCTGAGGCAGGAGGATCGCTTGAGCCCAGGAGTTTGAGGTTGCTGTGAGCTAGGCTGACGCCACGGCACTTTAGCCCAGGCAATAGAGTGAGACTCTGTGTCAAAAAAAACCAAAAAACAAAAAAAACGATGTCTACTTGAAAGCTTGTACATAAATTTTTATGGTGGCTTTATTCACTACTGTCAAAAATTGCAAAGAATCCGAAGTCCTTCAATAGGAGGACAGATAGACAAGCCGTGGTACACACGTACACTGCATTACTACTCCACATGAAGCAGTAAACCACTGACACCTGGATGAGTTTGCAGAGGGTTATGCTGAGGGAGAACAGCCAGTCCCAAAGGTTATGTCCCGAGGGAGTTCATCACGTGCTATCTGCAGAAAGACAAAACTGCGAGATGGAGAACACTCCGTGGATGTCAGGGTGGGGGAGGAGGACGTGACTACAAAAGAAGCACAGGGACATTTCTGGACAGACAGACTGTTCTCCATTCTGATTGTGGAGCAGTCACATGAACCTCCGTGTTAAAATTCACGGAGCTGTACACTAAAAGTTTATTTTACTGTTTGTAAATCTTTTAAAAAAATCAAACTGGCCAGAAAAAAAAAGCTATCGCACCCTGGCATACATGGTCAACTGATTTTCAACAAGTGTGCCATGACCATTTGACAGGGGAAGGACAGTCTTTTCAAAATACAGGGCTGGGCCAGGCACGGTGGCTCACATCTGTAATCCCAGCACTTTGGGTGGCCGAGGCTGGAGGATCCCTTGAAGCCAAGAGTTCAAGATCAGCTTGAGCACGAGTGAGACTCTGTTTCTACGAAAAAAGAAAAATTTGCTGGGCATGGTAGCACATCCCTGTAGTAACAGCTGCTGGGGAGGCTGAGGCAGGAGGATCGCTGGAGCCCAGGAGTTGGAGGCTGCAGTGAGCTGTGATGACACCGCTGCACTCCAGACTGGGCCACAGAGCGAGACTCTGTCTCAAAGGAAAAAAAAACGGTGCTGGACAAACTGGACA